AAAATACTGCTATTTTCTCTTAGTATAAACTGTAACTGTAACTGTAAACTGTAAACTTACTGTACATACAATTTATTATTTTTTTTGTGGTTTATATTTATCCATGTGTATTTTATTCACATCTTATTTTTATTATCTGTGTTGTTGTTGTTGTGTCTGTGTCCTTGTATTGCACAACATACTTGGCAATAAAGCTTCTTCTGACTTCTGATGCGTGTGTGTAATATACAGTAGGCCTACTACAGTATGAAAATGCATATTTTTCAATTAAAGAGAACTTATAGAATAAATATGTACTGCTTTGGGTGCTTGACACTTCATTGGTCATTTTGTGTTTTAAGAATGATATTCAAGGTTACGAATCCGCTGAAAGTTACTTAGATGTAAATACTACTTTCCTTATTGATCACGTCTTCCCTCAGCAAAATGCACGTTTTCTTGCGTGGCTGGATGTTGGAATCACGTTGTTTGCATTCGCTCAAACTGATTTGCTGAAGTCGAAACGCGGTCGTTAAAAAAACCCAACTCCGGCGTGAGTCCCGCTTGCTGTGAAGCGGCAGAGGATTCCGCTTGGACATTGATTATAAATCAGCATATTAGAATGATTTGTGAAGGATCATGTGACACTAAAATCTGGAATAATGATGCTGAATATTCAGCTTTGCTTCACAGGAATAAATTATATTTTCAAGTATATTAAAATAGAAAACGGTTTTGTTAAATTGCAATAATAGGCTGTTTCACAAAATTACATTTTTTTCTGTATTTTTGATCAAATAAATGCTTGATGAGCATAAGAAACCTCTTTAAAAAACATTAAAAATCTTACTAACCCCAAACTTTTGAACGGCAGTGTACATTTAAAGTAAATTTGCAGTTTTATCCTGCTTATAGTCACTGTTAATCCAGTCGTCCACTACTGGCTAAACGGCAGCCCTGCTGGACAGACTACAATTTCTCCTCTGATCAAATGACAGCGTGACGTATCCTGATCTTCAAGCAGTAGGAGCTGGATGAAATATTCTGAATGACATCAGTCCACAATCTCACTAGTGATGCAGCCTGAGATCATAATCACACCATCTTTGTTCATTTATCCAGAGGAGAGCTGAGCTGACTGCTCCTGGTTTCTCCCAAGCTGTTTTTTCTTCGTTTCAGTCACCTGCTGGAGTTTGGGTTCCACTGTCACCTCTGGCTTGCTTAGCTGGGGTTTAAAAGACACTGAATATTCAAGAATAATATTGATTTGATTGTACTGACACTATTGCATAATGACAAGACATGAACTGAATTGAGCTGGATTATGATACCACTGTTTTCTCCAGAGCTGCTTTATTGCCGAATCGACTTTGTTTCATAATGCATTCATTTTGCAACATTTTCACTGATACTGAATTTTATTAAATTAACATCAAGCTGACACAAAGTGTTTATTATGTCTATGTTCGTAGGATGCAGCCTTCCGTTTGAGAGGCACCCATAGATAAGCTTTGTTGAACTGAAAAAGGCTCTGAATGAGGAGTCGATCCCTCTTGATAGAATCGATTCCAACCTTTAGAATCGACTTTCAATTCCCAACGCCTCGGAATCGAAGAATCGATTCTTTTTGGATTCGATTCCCAGCCCTACACTCAGCTAACGTTAGCTCTGAAAAAATGAAGAAAATCGCTACCCAGCAGACGATTTTGCATTTATGGTCAACGAGGACAGTAAAAAGAATAAAACAGGATGAGAAGGTATAATAATATCGTGTAATCTAGCCAACAACATCCCACATATTGTAGCTAGCAAATAGCCATCAATATAACAAGTTAGCGAAAACAGTTTGTATTATTTTGGAAATGTTTTAATAGCTCGACATGGCATGACACAGAATAGCGTACGCTGCTTGCGTTCAGCGGATATTCTCCAAAATGGCGCTACGGTGATGCGGTTGAATAAAGTCGTTATTTTTGTTTCCAAAATATCTTAAATTGTGTTCCAAAGACGAACGAAGCTTTTACGGGCTTGGAACGACATGGGAGTAAGTGATTAATGACAACATTTTCATTTTGGGGTGGAGTATCCCTTTAAAAGCTTCATGAAGTTGTGTTTTTAAAAGCACCCATCACTAGCAGTGAGTAATACTGTTAATGTTTTCCAGCAGCATTTTTATTCAAGTAACCAAATCTATTTGTTCTTTTTTTTCCCCCATGAAGAGACAATCAAGTGGTTCTGACTGTACTGAGGGATGAGGTATGGACCAGGTATGTATTGATTTATTGGTCTTACTGTAAACTCATCTGAAACTAAGTATCTTGTTTTTTTTTTGTTTGTTTTGTTTTTTTTTAAATCAGAAAGCTTCATCAGCAGTAGAAAGTAAACGTTCTGGTATTTGTGGTTATTGGTCTTGATGTAGTTTGCCATGTTTACAGTGAACTGAAGAGCAGACCGTTGAAATCACAGTCTGTTACGCCCTCTAGTGGATTCATCTGCACACAGCACAGTCTTGAAGCGAGACTGATCAAGAAACAAGGTACATGAGGCTGAAGGTACATCTTCTCTTGTACTTGCAAGGACAAATTTGTCTTGGAAGACATTTTTAAGTAGGGTAAAAATGAGGCTAAAATATAATATCACAGTTTTTCATTAAAATAAATGTCATTCAAAAAAAAAACTTTATTTGGAGTACTACTTGTGTGCACAATACACATTTATTAATATTAAGCCTAAGATGTGTTTTAATATGACTATTAATGAGTATTGTATGATCTTTGAATAATATCGGC